CGTGTGCAGGGGGGGTTGGACTAGATGATCTCTAGAGGTCCCTTCCAACCCTAAGCATTCTATGATTCTATGATTCTATGATACACCTATGTGGACAAGAGAGGGAAAACAAGCTGGCCTCTTGACATGAGGCTGCCCCGCACTGCCATTGCCCCGCGTGGCTTAGTGTCGGGGGCGTTGAGCTTCAAGCCCGCCACACGCTGCGCTCGTCCTGCATAGCTCAGCGGCAGGAGGCGTTGCACTTCGAGCCCGCCCTGCACTGCCGCCGCCTTGTGTGGCTCAGTGGCGGGGGCGTCGCGCTTCTACAGCTTTCGGGCAGCTGAGCCTCAGAACAAGTTCAGCTCAGATGTTTGCCTTCATGTATCAGCTGGTCTTGCATGCAGCACCACACGAACCCAGCCGCATGGCCCCCAGACCCACGCGAGTTCTCAGATGCCTCATCTGGCCACACCATCTTTCCCTTTCCAGCTACAGGCAATTTACAGTATTTAACAACCCTGCTTCTTTAATGAAGGACAGGCCACCTAACATATATGAAGTCAGACAAAAAAAGCCCCCATCTTCTCCTCTTACTGGCTTTTCTAGGACATTTACATTCCAGGACACTTACAGAGTCTCTCTGCTCCCACCTCTTCAGCCAATTTCTGTCCATGTCTGCATCAGAATTTATTCTATTCCGAACACTTTTTACTCAGATTGTTTCCAGACTTCCCAGACCACGGATAACCAAATCAAACCTCTCTCTTTTTTTTTTTTTCCTCCACTTTAAGTGCAAGGCCTATACCTTTCAACTTTCCTTTCCTAGTCACACTGAAACTTGCATGTTAAAAACAAGCAAAGATTAAAACCTCCATCCCAAAAGGGACACTGCACTAAACATGCTTGTCCCTTTGGAGAGAAGAGAATACAACAGGCATTCACTGCACAGCTCAGTGGACTTTGGAAAGTGCCGGAACTGCAGTGGTGAGAATGATACAAAACCTACCCAGAATAAAATATATAGAATATATATTTTTATGTAAATTGTACATAATATATAGAATTTAAAATCCATTTAAATTCAGAAGACTACTTGGAATCAGCAGCAAACATCTCCCTGCTGTATCACTGCTCAGGGAACCTGCCTGCTCATTTCTGTGAATGGAGACCTCCTGCAACATCACACACTACAGCGATTCAGGGTCATGACAGACACATCACTGATTTGGAGTCTGTTGCAATATACTCCTGCCCTTCAAGCAAAGCTTTTGTTGCAGGCTGCTTTGTCCTGCTCCTCAACACCAAGATCTTGGTGTTAGTGGCATGTCTTGTGCTCACAATCAAGTTTTGGAGAAGTCATCTATAGGATACCTTGCACTGGAATAATAAGGGTTTCCTTCCTCCTCAAACCTCCTAATGATCGGCTCCTTCAAAGCTGCTTCATCTGCCTCAGATAACTGTAATAAAACATGGGAATAAACAAATACAGGGTAAGAAATACTTTAAGACGTTCTTCCACAATGAAAGCAGAGCTTTATATAACAGCACCAAATAAGAAGAAACTGCCTAAACCTCTCTCCACAGTTTTTTCCCTTTTTACCTACAATTATTAAGCTAGTATATTTGATGGTGGAATTAAAATACCACTTTTCAAAATGGGGGGAAGATGAGAATAAAAGTATATAGAAAATAAAACATATTTATTCATCTATCTGCTGATAGTAAGATAAGCTTTCATTAACAGAGTATAAGAATGAATGAGGTTTAACATCTGAAATACAACTGAAGTCACTTTACTCATTAAACAGTCTTCTGATCTTCCTTTGGCAAAACTTTTAATAAATCAAGTTTGTGCCATTCTCCTGTTGGGTTCTTCCAAGATCTAGAGTGTAATTCAGCTTCCGAGCCTCTAACACGTTATTGACATTAGCTACAATTATTCTTCCTCAAACTAGTTTCTGGGTATCACCCTGTCAAACATAGAGATCTGAGAAAATGAGACAGAGATAAGTATGACTCTATCCACAGAAAGGCCAAGTAGAGTGGAATAAAGAACCATAGAGATGACATGTACATACTGCTTCATTACTCTGATCACTACTCATGATAAATTAATCAATTTTAATACATCACATTAAAATTACTTCTTACATGATCAAGGCACCAACATAAATATAAATCATAAAATTTTAAAAACACAGCAGAAAGTAGCATACAGAGAAACTGGAAAACTTTGCTAAACAAAATACCACTAACTAAATTAAAATGGAGACACAAGTAAAAATATTTTCCCAGACTCTACAGGCTTCTGCTATTATAAGCTTCATAATTCTCATGCACTGAATAATTTGAAGTTCATCTTTCCATAAAGCTGCTTACTTTCAAAGTAATTGGAAAGACACTGTTCTCGCATATTGCTCCTCATACTCCCACACATGGGGGATCCCTGGCTGCTCATCTTAAGCAGGACTATGAAGCTGGTGCACAAAATACAAAAAGATGAACACAGGAAAATATTTCTCTAAGTGAAGACAAAGTATGACATGGACAATCTTCACATTCAGGAGTAAACAGGAACATTTTATGAATGCTTCATGTTTTTCAGGGCAATAGGCAACATTAAGAGAACCTTAAGCTCACTGGCATCTCACTCTGCAACATTTTTTCCTGGCTACTGGTGTGAACAACCCTATTGAAAGAGCAAGTGATAATGACGGTACTGCAAATAAAAGCAGAAAGATGTACCTGTTTTCCTTCTCTCGCTTTCTGGTCCTTAACTAATGTAGCTAGGACAGTTGCAGCTTGTTCCCCTCCCATCACAGATATACGAGCGTTTGGCCACATATAAAGAAATCTTGGACTGATCAAACATTTAAATAAAACCTTGGTTAATTTCCTGGTAAAGAATTTACACTCACTCAGCTAAAAATGCATTTTCATTAATGAGAATTTTGCATTTTACTGACTTTTAATGAATGCAAATTAATGTACTCTAATGCTGTTGCCTGACATTGGCAATCGA